AGATGTCCGGACTTCAACTCCCAGAATTCCCCAGCCAGCGAATGCTGGCTGGGGAATTCTGGGAGTTGAAGTCCGGACATCTTCAAGTGGCCAAGGTTGAGAAACACTGGCATAGACTATATAACTCTTTCCGCAAGAGAATCCTTTATCCTCCAATAAAAGCAGAGCATTAAAAGGTCACTATTTTTTTAAAAAAAGAAACTTTCTAAACATAAACAATGCTTGTTTGGATAGGATCCACCACCACTAAATCACAGCGCCGGACCAAAGGACCCCAGGACAAGGAGGGCCCCTTCCTAATAATCCACAAGGGATGGATGACCTTTCGGAGTTCTTGTTTGCTATTTCACACAGGCTAGCTCTGCGCCCGCGTTAAAGTCTGGCCTGTTTATACCATCAGCTACTCGAGGGGGAACAGTGGCATATTATGCTCCCCTGGGCACATGCAGGCAGCTTAATCCACCGTTCTAAGGCCCCCCTAAAGAACCTATGAGATCGAGAGGCCCTGCGGTAGTTGCACAACAGTGGCCAAGGCTCTCTTGGGGCCAATTCCTGCTCACCTCCGCACTCTGCAAATATTCAGTAGAAGCATAACTGAAATATGAGTGGTCAGCAAAGGCGTCAAACTGGTTTACCTTTTTGCGCCGAATGCCCGATTTGCTCATGCAGGACTTCTTGAGAGAAAGGTAGCCGCCGATCACTTCGATCTCATTGACGGTGGGATAGCGTTTTTTGACCCGACCCGATTCCTGCGGGAGGGCTCCCATCGGCGCTTCCCTTCGGCTTTGCTCCTCTTCCTCCTCCTCCTGCAGCCAGGCTCTGCTGAAGCGCTCCAGGCCGGCCGTGGGGGGCTTCCTTTTGGGCACTACGGTGAAGGTGTTGTTGGTGCGAGTAACGGAGCCAGTGGAAAGGGGCCTGTAGGTGGGCAAGGCAGGCTCCTCCGTCTCCAGAGCCAAGGCACCTTCTCGGGGCACATGGAAACCCTCCAGCCTGGGGCTGAAGACTTTCAAGGGCGGCATGGCTGTTACCAAGTCCTCGTCTATGTAAGTCACGGGCACCGGAGCCTCTGCCGACTTCTCCTCGGGGGCAGCGGGAAGGGCCTCGGCGGGCCGAGGAGGCGCCTTTTTCCGATGGGGCACAAAGAGGAAGGAGTTGCGGGAATTGAGCCGCAGGCTGGCCAAGGCACGCGCCTGGAGGTCGTGAGCAGGGATGGCATCGAGATCGGGCTTCGGGGCTGGGTGGATCTCAAAGGAACAGCTGGAGCTGAAGAGCGGGCTGGGCCGGGGAGGACCGTCTGAGGTTCGGCCGGCCGGAGTGGCACTGGACGGCGGGGACGGCTGTGGCGAGGTCTCAAGGGCAGCGGCAGCCTCGGACTTTGGCTTCTCCACCTCAGCTTCTGGCGGAGAGGAAGGTGTGGGGCTCCCGGAGGATGGCACGGCGTTGGAGGTGGAGGCCACATCGCGCTGACCGGGACTGCCAGGAGGAGGCGGAGGGGCAGCAGCGCCCTCCTCCTTTGCACCCTCATTACTGAGCCCAGAGATGGCTCGGAGGCGGGGGCGGGGGCGGTGTCCCCGCGGATTCACCACGAAGGAGTTGGAGCCGATTTTCTGCAGGAAAACGCCGGCGCGTTGAGCATCGGGCGGCGGGGCCGGGCGGGCGGCGAGGGTCCCGGCCGACGGGGGCACCGTCAGGGCAGGGCCGTCGCCTCCTCGACCTTTGCCTTGGGCCGCGCGGTCGAACTTCTGCAGCAGCCGGCTGACCAGACCGGAATCGGGGCCGGCGAGCGGCGGCGCTTCGGACTCATAGACGACCACTTGGGCCGCGCGGATTTCGGTGACGGGAGGGCCGTGCCGGGCGAGCAGCTCTCGCAGCTGGGACCTCTGACGGCCGCCTTCCGCGGGCTCCGCCGCGTCGCTGGACTCGATGATGAGGATGTTCTCGGCGCGGATGGTGCGGATGCCGGGCATGGCCCCGTAGAGCTGCAGCAGCTGCGCCAGGGCCGGGGACTCGGCGGGCGGAGAGCGGGGGGGAGCCGGGACCGGGAACTCGCAGGCACCCCTCCGCCGCCTCCGCCGCCGCTCGCTCTCCAGGCGCATGAAGGGGTTCTCCCGCAGCGGGCCCAGGCTCTCGGCCACCACCGACCCCGCCTCGACCGCCTCGGAGCTCTGGCCGGGCCGCGGAGCAGAGCCGCGGCCGCGTCCCTGGCCCATGCCGGCCGCCAGTTTGGCCCGCTTCCGCTCCAGAAGGGCCAGCTTCCAGGCCGGCGCCTCGGCCGCCGCCTCCTCCGCCGCGGTCTCCCGTAGGCCGCTCATGGCCAGCCGGCAGCCTCCCACCTGGCCGACCGGCCGCGCCGCCGCTGCCTCCTCCAGCGACTTCCTGGGCTCGCCGGCGATAGCGCCGCCCACCGACCGCAGAGGAGACGCCCCGGCGGAGCGGCCGACCCGATTGGCTGTCGCGGAGGAATCCCGCCTCTGCGCATGAAGGACGGCCCCCCGGTTAGCCACTCGCGACGTCTCGGGGCGTGGCCGATTTTCAGCGTGGAGCCGCGGTCGGCAGTGTCACTCATTGGACGGGAGGCGGGACGGCTCCGCCCAGTCTATGGCGGAAGTCTCACATTGGTTTTTTTTTTTTTCCGTTAGGTAAGCGGAACGCTCGTTGCTGAGGGCTTGGGACCTAGTGGCGCTCTTTGGGCGGAAGCGGCTTCGGGCGTAGCGCTAAGCGAGAACATCCCGCAGGCCTAAGGGTAACGCTCCGTCGAATCAGGTCAAAGGAGCCACGAAGAAGCCCCGCCCTCCCACGAGCAAGCGAAGTCTTATTGGGCAGGAGTCGCGTCTTTTGGAGAAACTCGTCAACGATTGGTCGGGAGCCTTGCTCCCGCTAGCTGGGGATTCTGGGAATTGGAGTCAGGCAAGAATGGGCTCCCGGGGAGCGACTTGGCAGCCTTTTCACCTCCGGAAACTGCCCTGCGGCCCTTTTGAAGGCGATAGGATAGATGCCCCGCCGTCCCCCGTGTCTGGCCGTCTCCACACGCTCTTAGAGAAGCTAACATAATACATGCAAAGCTGCCAAACGAGTATAACACTGCAGATTTGCCTGCAAGACCAGTCCGGCCAAATTTAAATATAGTTAGTTTGCTTTTAGGGTGGGTGTGTTGTGAGTCCAGGCAATTTGGTTAATTAAATATACTATGTTCCAGTGGGCCATGAGTCAGCCTATTTCCCAAACACAAGAAACTACACCCAGAAGCAAACTATCCATGTTATATAACTATATTTAAGGCTGCCATATTTGCTCATCTATTTTTTCCACATTTTTTCCCACTGGCACTCTTCCACCAATCCAGATCATGGCATTTATTAGCTAAATCTCTCCATGCAGCCCACATGAGCCAAATCCAAATCTTTAATCCTGAAATTGGTTATTTCAAGCACCTTGACAATGTGCAATTTTAGAAAGGCTCTTGGACTATGATCCAGCCCACAAGCACTTACTTCACTTTCAGCTACATACTTGTAATTGAATGCCATCGGTTTCATTGGAGTTCGCCCTCTCTCTCTTGCAGGGGAAGCAGTGCAAGAAGCCCTGCTCACTTTGATTGTGTGCCATTAGCAATGAACTTGGAAGTATACCCTTGCAAAAGGAATTATCTATAAAACTGCCTGCCATTTTTCAAACATTGCTGTCAGTTATTTCTCAAAACACACCCAGCTTTCCTTTCAGCGTTTATTGTATTGTATTGTATTGTATTATTTGTATGCCA